AAATAACTGTTATTTTAACTAGGAAATTATATGTTAAAAATCCTACTACATAAAGATGAAATAATTCTAAAGAAAACAAATGTCAGCCGCTATCCAAAATATTTTGGTATATGCTTATATGCAATAGGCATCCATTGTTTTCGCCTTTTCTAAACACAAATTACAAATATCTTTGAAGTGCCTGAAGTGCTGCCACCGAAGGAAGCCATCCCAGAAAAGAAAGCACCAGTGCCTCCTCCCAAAAGGCCAGAAGCTCCGCCTCCTAAAGGTAGGTGTCCTTACACATTGTCAGTCGGGGGGCCGGGAGAAAGAGTGCACAGAAGTGTCTGCCAGTCTCACAAATTGTATTTGCTTGGGTAAATGTGGAGTTGATATTCCCCTTTATAGTTTCTAACTAAAAGATACTAATATCTTCAAAGTTCCTGATGCTCCTAAAGAAGTTGTACTTGAAAAGAAAGTATCTGTGGCTGTGCCCCCAAAACCGAAAGCCCCACCTGCAAAAGGTATTTATTCCCACTCCTCTGTTAAGAAAAACTTATTGTCTGTACCCCCACAATCATTGTAATATATGCCTTCGCCATTTATAAATTATAAAAATACTAATATCTTTCAAGTTCCTGAAGCTGCTCAAGAAGTTGTCCCAGAAAAGAAAATTCCCAAGGCACCGATCAAAAAACCAGAAGCTCCCCCAGTTACAGGTACATGTCAGCTCAACCTTATCCTGCAGAAGAAATCTCTCTTCCATTCTTGAAAACAATTGAGACCATTGCTCTTCGTTAACCTAAGTATAAAACTACTAATATCTTTCAAGTGCCAGAAGTTCCTCAAGAAGCCGCAGAAAAAGAAATTCCCGTGGCTCCACCCAAAAAACCAGAAGCTCCAATTGTTCCAGGTACACGTTAGCCCTGACTTCACTGTGCAGAAGAGATATCTTTTCCAATACTGAAAACAATTTTAGCCCATTTCTCTTCATTAGCTTAAGTTTAAAACTACTAATATCTTTCAAGTGCCTGAAGTTCAAGAAGTTGTCCCAGAAAGGGAAGTTCCCAAGGCTCTGCCCAAAAAACCAGAAGCCACACCTGCCACAGGTATTTCTCACCCCAGCCCTTTTTCTGCAGAAGAAATATCTCTTTTGATCTTAGAAATACTTTAGCTCATTTTTCTCATTAACCTAAGTGAAAAACTACTAATATCTTTTAAGTGCCTGAAGTTTCACAAGAAATTTTCCCAGAAAAGAAAACACTGGTACCTCTCAAAAAGCCAGAATTTCCACCTGTTACAGGTACTTGTCATTTGACCATAAGCTTCAGAAGTTCCAATTCCTCTGCTGTGTAAGATATTTTTCTAGTAGTCTTCATAGCTCTACATGTAACTTTACTAATATCTTTTAAGTGCCAGAGGCTCCCAAAGAAGTTGTCCCTGAAAAGAAAGTGCCAGTGCCTCCTCCTAAGAAGCCTGAAGCCCCACCTGTTAAAGGTATTTGTCATTGACTTTGAGCTTCAGAAGATCTATCTCTTCTACTCTTGAAAATATTCTTCTCGCGGTCTTCACCATGCCTAAATGTAATTTCACTAATATCTTCTAAGTGCCAGAGGCTCCCAAAGAAGTTGTCCCTGAAAAGAAAATGCCAGTGCATCCTAAAAAGCCTGAAGCCCCACCTGTTAAAGGTATTTGTCCCTGGCTTTAGACTTCAGAAGATCTATTTCTTCTGCTCTGGAAAATACTTTTCTAGTGGTCTTCAAAAGGCCTAATTGTGATTTCACTAATATCTTTTAAGTGCCTGAGGCTCCTAAAGAAGTTGTTCCTGAAAAGAAACTGCCAGCAGCTCCTCCTAAAAAGCCTGAAGTCCCACCCACAAAAGGTAGTCCCCTTCATGTCACTGTGTTTGATACTCTTTGTTTGTCTCTACTTTGTCTAATAATGAAAAACTAATATCTTTAAAGTCCCAGAGGTGCCAAAGGCAGCTGTCCCAGAAAAGAAGGTTCCTGAAGCTATTCCTCCCAAACCGGAAAGCCCTCCCCCTGAAGGTAATAATGAAACTATTCAAAATAGTGTTTTTAGAAACATAAATTCCTTAGTGTTGTAAAAAATGGTTTTCTTGCACAAACTATTTCATGTCTTTTAGTCAATTCTGGCATTAAAATGAGCTCATGTCTTTAAAGTGTTCGAGGAGCCTGAGGAAGCTGCCCCAGAAGAGCCTCCTGCTCCTGCTGAAGTGGAAGAGCCAGAACTGGCCAAGCCTCCACAAGGTACTTAGCAAGAAACTGCTGGGACACCTCGGCCGCTCTTTCCCCTTCCTGCCCTGATAATTCTGGGCACTCTGAGCTTTTGTCTTGTTTCTCAATCTTCACTCTTTCTAAAACATACCTTGCAATTCTTTAGTGACCGTGCCACCTAAGAAACCTGTCCCAGAAAAGAAAGCACCTGCTGTCGTTGCCAAAAAACCTGAACCACCACCAGTGAAAGGTATTTCTCACTGACACTAGCTTCCTAAAATTGTCTTTAAAGTGTCATATTCCACTGTTCTGCTTCATGATTTTCATATGTCATTGAAACCATGAGCTTCAAAAACTACTAATATCTTTTATAGTACCCGAGGTGCCCAAGGAGGTTGTTCCTGAAAAGAAGGTGCCTCCAGTGGTTCCCAAAAAGCCAGAAGCCCCACCAGCTAAAGGTACATGTAGCTGTTGATGGTTTGATGGAGGTGGATGCAGCCCCCAGCTTCTAAAATGGTTTTGTTCTATGTAAATGTGATGAATGTTTACTGGTGATTCTTTCTAATGTTAAAATACTAATACCTTTGAAGTGCCTGAAGTTCCAAAAGAAGTTGTTCCAGAAAAGAAAGTAGCCGTTCCCAAAAAGCCAGAAGCCCCACCAGCTAAAGGTACATATAGCTGTTGATGGTTTGATGGAGGTGGATGCAGCCCCCAGCTTCTAAAATGGTTTTGTTCTATGTAAATGTGATGAATGTTTACTGGTGATTCTTTCTAATGTTAAAATACTAATACCTTTGAAGTGCCTGAAGTTCCAAAAGAAGTTGTTCCAGAAAAGAAAGTAGCTGTTCCCAAAAAGCCAGAAGCCCCACCAGCAAAAGGTACACATCACTAATGAGATTCTGCAGAAAAGCACCTACCCTTGTCTAAAAAGTCACCTATTATCGAACCCTTTATTTGATAATCCTCTTAAATTCACAACTACAAATTGTCATACTGAATTTTTAGGGTGTAAATGTTTTTTAATAACAACATTGACTTTTTAAAAGCGACGCATTTACTTATTACAAGCACTGGAAAAGTTTACTGTCATTTTTTTAAATTCTTGATAGGCCATATTTTCCTCCCCACTCTAAGAAGATCCAAAGACGGATCACTGACCTTATTGTGAAATTTGTTCTTGGGATCTGTCCCTGGGTTGTTTGAGCAAAATGTGAAGTAGATGTGATATAAATTTAATATACTTCTCAACTACTCATAAGAAAGACTAATTAATATCTTTAAAGTGCCAGAAGTGCCAAAGAAACCTGTCTTGGAAGAGAAACCAGCTGTTCCTGTTCCAGAAAGAGTGGAGTCACCTCCCCCAGAAGGTACATGTGAGACCGATATTAATGACCTTGCCACTTGTGACTATTTCTAATTTAAGCTTTGTTCTTCATCTTTCCTAACTCATTATTTCTTGGTGATTTTCTAACTTTTAATTATTTGTCTTAATTCATCATTCTAAATTAGCTCCAATCTCAAATCTATTTTGGATTATTGGTCCGCAGTATCCACATAAGTCATAGTAAGCTGTATTAAACAAAGCTTCTCTAGTGTACACAGAAAGTAAGACAGGAGAACTAATAATTATAAATGACATTAAACACTAAAATGGCTTTGCAAGCATTCAAATCAATAGACAAAGAAGTCAGTGCAAATGAGATAGATTTTATCTTAGCAAAAATAAGAAAAGGTATTAATTGAAACAAAGGAAGAAATCAAAATTACTATTTATTGTGTTTAGTGTTTGTCCATCTTAGAATATTGTTCCATACATTGAAATAAAATTAACTAATATCTTTAAAGTATATGAAGAACCTGAGGAAATTGCTCCTGAAGAGGAAGAGCCCATTCCTGTTGCAGAAGAGGAGGAACCAAAGGCCCCACCTCCAGCAGGTACAAGGCAGAATCCACTGTGTGAGAAAATACAGTCATTTCATTTTTGTGTCTACATATCTTCTTTTAAGGCAAAGTATCAGTCTTGTATCTCATTGTCTGGAATTTGAATACATTAACCAGAACAAAAGTTATTTCTGCACATAAAACTTTGATCTCACAGAATTTTACAATGTGCATACTAAGAAATATGTGTGGTTTTAAATTCATTCATAAGCATTAAACTTTTCATTGTAATTAACTGACTCTGAAAGAAATTTCTATTATTCAAGTGCCAGAAGAGCCCAAAAAAATCGTCCCAGAGAAGAAAGTTCCTGTCATCAAAAAACCAGAAGCGCCGCCTCCTAAAGGTACTCATGTTAAAATGAATACTTCATTTTTGTGGTGTCTACAATTTTACACTCTTTTCTTATTGTATGCTGTGTTGTACTATATGTTTGCTAATGCTTATCTATATGTTATGGTGTTGAATAAACTTGTATGTATATCTTACGCCTTGCAACTTTATATTATTAAATGCTACTAATATCTTTAAAGAACCTGAGCTGCCAAAGAAAGTTGTCCCAGTGAAGAAGGTCCCAACTGTGAAGAAACCAGAAACACCAGCAGGTAAAGGTATTTGCATCATCACTGGCATCATAAAAAAGAAAGTACTCTGATATCTTAAGGTGGAAATCCAATAAGTTGTCCTCATTGTTGTTGCATAACTAAGGGCAAAGTTTCCTTATTTTGTTTTCATTAATTTTAATGCTGCTTCAATAAATACAGGTTTTTTATTCTTAATATTTTTAAATGTTTTAAAATTCTGTTTTTAAAACAAAACTAATATCTTCAAAGTGCCTGAGGTGCCCAAGAAACTTGTTCCAGTAAAGAAGGAACCTGTGCCTGTTACCAAAAAACCAGAAGTTCTTCCAGAAAAAGGTACCTACCATGAAGAAAAGGTTGATTTCTCTAGCTGCTATTTAAGCATTTATAGTTCTTAGAGCAAAACATACTGAGTGTGAATTTATATAAAAACCACATTTCACAGAAAAAGGGAAAACAATGAAGGAAAAGAAAAAATGAAACAGACAAGCAGGAGTGAAATGAATGGGATTCAGTTGTGCTGTGATATATCACATGGTTACAACTGGTAAAAAAGAACCTTCTTTCATTCAATGTGTAGAACAGCTCAATTCAACATATTTTATTGAATGTTGACCATTAACAAGACACCATATTAGAAAAATTAAGGCCTGCTTCTGTCTTCAAATAATGTAAACCACGTAAGAGGATAGAAAAATAACATCACTCTAATATAGACAGGAAGTGATTACATGTAGCAAGTGAATACAAAGGGCTGCAGAAACACAAGGCAAGAAGAGATTACTTTCAGGCAGAGGCATCTTGAGACGCTGTGTGGAAGAATTGAGTTTAAATTTTGATAAACTTTTACATGTATAAATTGAGGAAATGAGGCTGGATGTGGTGGTTCACACCTGTAATCCCAGCACTTTGGGAGGCCGACGTGGGTGGATCACTTGAGTTCAGGAGTTCAAGAGCAGCCTGGCCAACATGGTGAAACACGGCCTCTACTAAAAATACAAAAATTAGCTGGGCATGGTGATGCATAACTGTAATCCCAGCCACTTGGGAAGCTTAGGCAGGAGAATCACTTGAATTTGGGAGACGGAGGTTGCAGTGAGCCGAGAACGTACCACTGCACTCCAGCCTGGGTGACAGAATGAGCCTCTGTAGAAAGAGGAAGGGAGGAAGGGAGGGAGGGAAGAGGAAGGAAGGAAGGAAGGAAGGAAGGAAGGAAGGAAGGAGGGAAGGAGGGAAGGAGGGAAGGAGGGAAGGAGGGAAGGAGGGAGGGAGGGAGAGAGAGAAAGAGGGAGAGAAGGAGGGAGGGAGGGAGAAAAAAAAAGAAAGAAATTAAGGAAATGATATTCAAGTAAACTTACATAATTTGAGTATGTGTTGGTTGTGTAGTGTCTTGAAAGATAATACCAGATATAAAGATGGGGTCATACTTTGAAGTATTTCAAATGCCAGTAAAAGGCTTGTACTTTTTCTATAGGCAATAGGAAGCTTCAAAGGTTTTGAAGTAGGCATACATATTAATAGGATTTGGCCTTTAGAAAGATAACTGGCAGCAATTTTAGCTACTAAATAGTAAAGAACCATTGCAATTACTTAAAGTCATTAAGAATTGGACAAGATCCGTTGTGGTAGAAATGAAACGGGGGATTAGGTTTGAGAGAGATGGAGACTGAGTGACCTCCGACCATTATCAAAACCATTAGGGAAATTGAGGAGCCCAAGATCATTGTAAGGTTTAAAGCTAGATGGCCAACAAAATGGTTCATTGGGTCTCTGAACTAATGTTAGAAGAAGGTGGTAGATGTATTTTTCACCTTTAAAGCATGAAAGTTGGGAGCGTGCATCAGGAGCTTAAGAAAGAGATCAGGCCTAGAGATGTGGATCTTAAAGTCATTCCCATGGAAGTAAGAGCTGAGTGTGCAGGAACAATTACTCAGAAAAAGTAGAGAAAAATTTTTTAAGTGTCAAAGTTACACCAGTGGGAAAAGATCTTCATTTAAAGGTACACAGAAGACTAGAAGCAAATGACAAAAAGGATGAGAAAATTCATATATAAACTCAGGGTGTCTAAAAGGGTACTGTGCCTCAGAAGCCATTTTCCCCATGAAGTCTTCTAAGATGAAGCTCTTGCCCCTGCATTCTTTGCCTGCTCTTTAGACTCTTGCATGTCTTCTAAATTCTTAATCGTAAACAAAGTAGTAAGTAAACAAATCGTATCTTTAAAGTGCCCAAAGTGCCCAAGAAAATCATCCCAGAAAAGGAAGTGCCTCTACCTATCCCTGCAGAGCCAGAAGCTCCACCTGCTGAAGGTACACGGACTCTCCATAAATCTTGGAAAGATGACAATTGTCTTCATCCTCTTGCTTTGATTGTAGATGAGTCTTATGTATTTGTCTGTCTGTCATATGTATTGAAGTTACTGATATTTGGGGGTCATCTGAATAATATGTTATAGAGTGTTACTTAATGTAAGTAGGTGGATAGAATAGCAGTTGTAATATTCTATTCTAAATATAATCTAAAATAAAACACTGTGTTTTTTAAAGTGGAAGAGACTCCTGAGGAAATAATATATGAAGAAAAAGCATCTATAACCATTGGTAGAAAAGAGACTCCCCCTGTTGAAGGTATACATACATATATATAAATTTTTTTAATCTCTTGAAGATTCCTGTTAGAATCACAAAAGCATTTACAGGACAATATTCTTTCTTGAAATTATATACAAAAGCAGTCTAGCATGTTTGACTGCTTTACTTTTTAAATAGTTACACTTCTTTCGAGTTAGAATCTTTAATTTGGTTTCTCTTGTTGGTACTTATAAATTCCAAAAGATACAGTTTACTGAAGCAAAATGGAATAATTGCCTTGGATTCTCAAATGATAACATAGTATCAAATTTTAAAAGTCATCTCATTTGCCATCAATATACATTGAATAAGCTAATTAATAGGCAGTTCAAGTATAATAAAATGGAAATCTTTTTATTATATGAATTGTATATTTTTATTTATATATATGAATAAAAATATACAATTTTATTTATATATATAATCTTTTATTATATGAATTGCATATTTTTATTTTGTGACTAATCTTTGCATCAATGTGAAATTTGTATGTCTTTTTGAAGAACTTTACATTACAATCTTATATTCTTTGTCAACATTCTTTAAAGAACGTGAAATTGAAAAGTACATTAAACCTGAAGAGCCTGAACCTGAACCACAGCCTGAAGAAATACCAGTAAAAGGTATTAAATCTGGTGGACTTAAATCTTCTTTATCATATTCTTTCTCTTGAAATATATATGGTTTATGTTGTTGTGCATATGTAGTAGGTCTGTTTCCATCTGTATGTAAAGTATTCTTTGTTAAATGTGAACCTCATTCTTAAGTTTCCATGTAACTTGTACTATTTATCTCATGTCAATTGTGACTTGTCTGGAGGCTTTGTATGTTGTTGTTATTGGTGACTTTGCTTTGTTTCTCACCATCTGTGTAAAGTGTTGATATTTTTATGTTCTATGTTTTATGTTGAATATTGATATTATGTACCTTAAAAGGCAAATGTTGTACTTCATTTATATATATATATATAAATTTCTATTGAATATACTACATATCCACATGCTAACATATACATATACTAATACCTCTAAAATACTCTTTCAAGAACCTGAACCTGAAAAGAAGGTTATTGAGAAACCAAAACTCAAACCAAGGCCCCCAGCTCCTCCACCTGCTCCACCTAAGGAAGATGTAAAGGAGAAATTATTCCAACTTAAAGGTAAAAAATGCCACTTCCAAAGTTTTATTAGCCTGCTTCAAACTTCTATCCAGACATCTGAAATGATGCTTGCCAGAAATGTATGACTTTTAGAAGTGTGTCCTTTCAGACATGATTGTACTGTGAGATTGCATAGAGCTGCGTCTTCTGCTGCCCCATGGTTCCTGGGTTGCTTGTCATGCCATGCCTGCTGCTGCAAATGTCAGAAAGTACATTGATAGCATCATCCAGGATATCTGAATGCAGGAGCTGTCCAATTAACTTTCTTTTTTGGAGTGGGGAGAAAAAGTTTTCTGATTTCAAAGCCTGATTGCTATGCATATCGTTGAGGTCTTATGCATAGGGAATGTATAAGAAATCTTTGCAAGATATTTTTAATATTTCAGTAACAAATTTATATAAAAGCCAAAACTTTGCTCTTAAAGAATTGCATGTGCTTTTAAATATATTACAAGTAATATAGTTATGATTTCCAATAGCTGATATGCACCTATATGTCATGAAAGGAAAGCATATGAATGACTTGTCACTGTTCCCCATCTTTTTTTTTTGTAACTTAATAAAAGCGTTCTATGTTGTTCTCAGGGGAGCTGGAAAGAGTGGTTATGAAGACAACTTCTCTTCCTACTTCTTATATTTTGATTTTTCTATGAGTTGACACAATGTTACTTAATTTTTTAAATATCAACTTCTTTAAAAGCTGAAATAAACTGGCAGAAACATATTATTCTTATTTTAATAAAAAGTTGTCTTGTGATGTCATGTGATTCCCCAATCTAAAATTATCTAGATATAATCTTAGATATGCACTTTCCCCATACAGACCTATGCATCTACAAAGCCAGAGTCTTCCAGCATTGCTCGAAGACACTGCTGCTGGTGATTCTTGCCCTCTACAACACTCCTGGCCAGTAGGGGGACTTTCTTGCATCTCTTGAAAGGATACCCATCTGTTGATTGACACTCCATGAGAACACACACAAAAATACATTTCCCTTAATGTAAAATGTATAGTCAAAGGAAAATTTCTTCCTCCTGTGAATAACAAAAATTGTCTTCTTTCTCTACTGGTCTTTAATTAACTACCGAACTTTGGAGTAAAACTACAGTCTGTTTTCATAGTTCGAATGCTGCTTGTACATTCTTTGGAGACTGTTCTTGGCTGTTATTAATGCTTTCTGGTTATAAGCAAAGCTTGGTTTTGATTCTTGAAGCAGAAAGTTAATCACTTGATTCAGATTAAATATACAAATAATAAAAGTAAGATTATATTCTTTAAAGCTGTTTCAAAGAAGAAAGTTCCTGAAAAACCTGAGGTTCCAGAAAAAGTGGAGCTTACACCTCTGAAAGGTATTTCACAGGCTGAAAAATATATTCTTATGTAGTAGTCCTTCTCCTGACTTCTCACTCTTTCTGCCTCCATTGAATGTTCTCTCTCTCTCTTTTTCAGTGATCAGAGAGTAGTCCCATTCATTTCTTATGTTTCTGTGGCTTTCACAGTCCTGGCTCATGAGTGTGGCTTCCATTGTTTCCCATCCATTTCATACATTGTATAGACATGGCCTATCTTTGTCTCATCTACATGTCTTCTTGCATTTTCCTAAACTTAAAAATATCAAATTTTACTGGTTAACCAAAATTGATATCAAGAGACATATAAGGTTAAAATGTTGAGAGCTAGTAGTAAAATGTTTTGACATTTCACCTGATACAAGCATTTTAGCCAGTGTTATAGGTACTGAAAATAAGTCCTATCCTCCTTTAATATTATTATGGTTATTTGCAGGGATTTCCTTAGGACTTTCGTGACACTTTCTTCTCACTGACTCTAAGGCATTCTCTGAAGTGTACACAGCTCACATTTCAAAAAAAGTTATTATTAGTGTAGGTAATTTTTCTAAAAACAGTATTTTCCCTAATAAGTTCGCATCTAAAATTAGACCCTAAAGAAAAATAAATGAATCTTAAGAGTCTAGAAAGCAACTATCAAAACTAAACAATTTTTCTAGTGGGTAGCGGTGTTCTGTTCAAGTAATCAACACATTCAGACCTAGAAATTAAGACTGTTTCTGGTAACTCTGAAATTTTGGGAAACAAAATCACCCATATGAATATACATTTCCTAATTCATAAAGAGGAGATTACAAAATAATATTATCATGGATATTGATCATATACATTAAAATATCACATAATCACATATAATGACTTTAAAAATAATAGATACAATGGTATGTTCTCAAACATCAAGATTTTTAAAATAAAATAATAATGCAAAAATGCACAGATATATTTTTACTATGTCAATTACATCAGTAAAGCAAATCTATATTATGCCTCCCCACTTTACGTTAATTAGAAGCATGCTCTTCTTTCTGGGTTTGAGCAATAAAAATAGTTACTAGGAAGACTGGTATTCTAAAATAGTATTGAAGGCTAGCAAAACTTATCCTGGATAAAATATGTAATGTTCAATGGGAAAATTTTTACTTAAAATATTTGAGTTTAGAAAAAAATGATTATTCAAAATGAAATACATATTTGCCTATTGTACACATAAATTTTTGAAATAAGAGTTAAGCAAAGTTATCTTTATCATACGAAAAACTAATGAATTACAAACATGTTTAAAGCACTAAATGGAAAGTTTTATAGAAATACCTAAAAAATTAAGATTTCTGATAGTGAGCAAATAGTTACATGCTACAAATAAATAAGGTTTTAAATTAGATTTTAATTGACATTAGTAGAGAGGAAAATGGTTTAATAATCGCCACATGTTCCTTTCTTTCCCCATTCAAATCTATGAGGGTCATAATAGCAAAAGAGGCTGCTTTATAAAATAGCGTCATCCACCATGCTCAGTATTCACTATAGACACAAAAGAAAATTAATTTTAAATTCCTTGGGTCCCTTAATTTGAACAAATTTAAGAACATTTTCTTATTAATGAAAAGTGAGCTTCCAACACCAGCTTTGAAATTTTATATTTCTATAATTTTAAATATTTTATCCATTATTATTTCAAAAAAGAAATATTAAGAAAGGATATTCTTTTTCTGTTCAAAAAGTGAGATATGGCCCTTCCCCAGCATTAAAGTCACAAACCGGAACCCTTGGCCACCTTCTCCCCTCAGTGGAGAAGACTGAATGATTGCACTAATACTTGCCAGTATAATTTTAATGTATTTAATATTTGGGGAGATAAGGATGTAGATTTGGATGATCTACAATGGCAGTTTGGAACAAAGATGCTGTCAAAAACCCTGTAATTTGATAAAAAATTCGTAAAGTCAGTATAGAACAACATCCTCTATACTCATTTAAAATGAATACATTTGCCTGCAGGTAATGAAGTTGAATTTCATCACAAGGCTGTATAGACATTTGCAGAGGAGATAACTCAAAATATATCATTTAAACTTAAATTCTGTGGTATTTATATGCAGCAAAAATTGTTACTTAATTCACTACAGTTATCTAGTTTTAGGAAAGACATTCTTCTTGTTGAAATTCTATTTTTATATGAATTCACTTCAAAATTTGAAATCATATTCTTTTAAGTGCCTGGAGGTGAAAAGAAAGTTCGCAAATTACTTCCTGAACGTAAACCTGAACCAAAGGAAGAAGTTGTTCTGAAAAGTGGTATAGTATTTTTCAACTGTTCCGTCAGCGTTAAGTATACTTTAAAAAATGAACTGGAAAGCTCACAAATGTTTCTGTCTCTTGGTTTTCTTTGAACTGGTTCCCTATATATCAAAATTCGTAGTTTCACTGAAAATTAAGAAAAATGTCATTTCTAAATTTTTTTTTAAAAAAGACGAAATTTTGTGAGCATTCACAGTATTTTGAAATTTAAAATGTTAACAGACATAACTAAGTTGATAATATTCTAAACTAACAACAACCATGACTGCCATTTTCATAATCAAACTGTGTAGTAAAATACACTAAACCTATTAAATACCTTACATAAAACTACTTTAGCTTAAATTCAACATTCAGTTTTAAAGTGTGACACAGGATCACCACAACTAATAAATAACATTTTTCAAAAAACTAAACATATCTTTCTGATTAAGAAAATATTAAAGAATGAGAAGGAAGATAGTCAAATGAAAAATTAAGTTCTAACATGTCTTCACATAGAATTACTGATTTCTAGGCTGCATTTCTTTAGATATCTCTGCTTAAGTAAACTTTCTACTTATTTGTATACTCATTAAATCATTAACATTGAATTATTATTAGAATTCGTTGCTATTCAAATTATTCATTTTGTGTTGGAGCTGTTTCTGCCACAGAAACAACGTGACTTTGAATGCCATTATACTTCACATAACAACGTGATTTAAAAAAAAAAAAAAAAAAAAAAACCTTTAGTGTAAATGCTTACTTTCCAGAGTGTTAGGTAGCATGCTTTTTTTTCATTTTCCTTGCTTTGTACATTATTTG